TTCCTTTAATTAACAAAAGTTCATTCACAGAACTGAGGCCCACAGTGTTCATCTAGAGGCGGTGTTTCTTATCGTCTGAAGCCATTTCTCTTTTTCTGCTTTTCAGCCCTTTTGTTGAAGAGAAAAATCTATTTAAGTGGCTGAAGCTCTGACACAAAGCAAGAGCAGAAAGCTGTAGAATCTGCTGGCTTAATTGATTATTTGCGCAGAGCTGTATATCAGCGAGGTGCAGCATACCCTTGGGAAATAATGTAAAACAGATAACAAGATCAAATGTGGAAGAATTGCTTTCTACTGCCAGCTTTATTAATCTGTTTCTCTCTTAGTCAAAATGGCTTTTTTCCCCCTCTCCTCTATGCAGGTTTTTGCATTAAGGCAAGGTACGCCTCTTCGTCCCAAGTAGCATAAAAGCTACAGCTGAGGGAGGTTTTATGAAGCTGTTTTGATTTGAAAGAATATGGGTGGCTCATGATTTCAACATTAGCTTAGCAATCGAGCTGTGTGTGGCAGGGAATTTGAAAGGGTTTAACTGCATTTTGGCTTGCTTTTTAAGAATTAGAATTGGAATTATTCAGTAACAAGATGCTTTAGAGACTTAATTTACTTTAAAACTGATCTGTTAGGACATTACCGGGCACAAACGTGCTTGTATTTTGGCCTTAAAGGATCAGGCTTGAGGAAAATACACAACACTCGCTTGCTTGCTTGCAGATTTACACCAGTGAAACAGCCACAATACCCTCATGCACATGGCCTTGTAGGTTCACTCTTTATAGTCGAGATGCTGCGAGTGTTTGTATTAAATCCAAATCAAACCAAGTGCTCTCTAATTCCACATTCTCTCATAGTGCATTTACATAATAAAAATTGCATAGCAGTCTCACAATCTACTAGACATCCTTCCTCAAACATCTCTCTAAGCCATTTCCAACTCTGTAAACTGATTTGTTTTTCTTATTCATGGGGTCTTGCGGCACATCAGACATGACTGTAATTGCCTTCCTCTCACCAGGGAGCTTCTTGTTTCTCATTCTGAAGTTTATTCTCTATTTCATATCACCAAGGCAAAGAGAGATACGGCACCCTGGGAGAAATGACACTCCCTCCGTCACCAAGAGGAGAGTGAAAAGATAAGAACAGTGGATAAATATCTGCAAATGCACAGCTCGAAATGATGCCAGCACAATGCTCTCGCTTTAAAATGAATGGGTGTTTATAAGTACACTTCCTGTGAGTTTGGGAAAACTGTGGCAGTTTGCATTAGCGAACGCAGCGTAATGCACAAACAAGCTTATGTTAGTCAGAGGGACCATCTGGATTGCCTGTGTTTTTATGAAATCATCTCTTTGGATTACTCCACTCGTTCTCTAATTGAGCTGCTTCGTTTAGCACGGCGGTACCGCTCTAAATGGCCAGTTTATATTGACTGCTAAAAGGGCTGCTCGCCCCGGGAGGTGATGATCTACAGAGCGGCAGGAAGTGGGAATGAACCTCAGGTTATTTACGTCAGCACTCCTTCAAATGAGACCTCTGCAAAAGCGCGATCCTTGGCAGCTGCACGCAGCTCTGCGTCTGCCTGTAATTTCAACTCTTCCAGAATCAGACCCTGTCAGGTGTAATTACGCAACAGATGAAGGTACCAGGCTGGTGGTTTTCCCTTTTACAAACTAAATCTGCGGCTTTAGTCTGGGAAGAAATGCAGTCATTATTAAATCTTTGTTTTTCTACCATTTTTGAGGAGTTTTAGGTTACAGAGCTCAGAATTGATTTTTTTGTGTATGTCAACAAGCTCCGCTCTCTGCATCCATGAAAGGAGGAGGGATAATGTCAGCTCAGCTTAATACATTTCTAATGGATGTTTTATTTTAAGCCTGAGGGTGCGTCTGAAGTGTTTGGACATTTGGAGATTTGAGGGGGTGGAAGAATGCCTGAGAATACCTTGCAACAAGATATTTGGAAACATTTATAATGCCATTTTAACTGTCTGCTTGGTTCAAGAAAACATTAGCTCACTTTTCTCATCCTCTAAGACTTTAAATGGTTGTGCAAGGTATGCTAATGAAATTAGGGAAAATTCACCAAAAATGAAATTATTCTGTCATCATTTACCCTAATGTTGTTCTAAAATCTGTATGACTTTCTTTAATTTGTGGAACACAGAAGATTTTGAATAAAGGCTGTTTTTATTTTTTATTTTTATTTTTTTAATGAAAGTCAATGGGCTCTTCAGTTGTTTAGACCCAACATTCTTCAAAATATCTTCATTTGTGTTCTGCAGAAGAAAAAAGACATGAGGGTGAGTAAATGATGACGTAATTGTCTTTCTTTTTTTGGGGTGGGAGGGGTCATCAACTATCATTTTAATTCACCTCCTGCTACTATTAGTTATTAACTCAGCCTCGATGTGGTTTAGCATTCATATCACCATCCATAACAAAAAAAACAAAAAACATTTTAATTAAAATCAGAAATTTCTATCATCATATCAAGTTGGTTTGCAAGGTAAAGTTTTAGAATTAGGTACCATTTGATGTTATGCAAATCCATCTGTGGTCTGTTAGCAGTCTGCTCTGGTTCTCCTCACTTCACCACCAGTGGAGGATGAAGCAGGTTTTCAGGCTGAATCAATCCAACATTGCTATTACGCTGCATTAACATTACATGAATCCACCTGTATGTATCAAAATGCAAAATGGTTTGAACTGGAAAATTTAAAAGCCAGCCACTTGTGTAATTAAATGCCCAAGAAAATGAAATGTGCAGTACAACTATCAGTTTGGCAACATGATTTTTCTGTCTACATTCTGTTGTTTTATAATCCATTGGTTTAAGAAGGGTTAAATGTTCTATTATAATAAGTGCATTGGTATATGCATTGGTGGTATTTGTACAACAAATACCAAGAATGCAGTGTGTCATTGTGTACGAATGCATAGCATTTTCTTGTGTCTTGATTAAAAATGTATTTGACAAGAATGTCATTAGCCTATGAAATATGTTTAAAAAATGCATTAAAAAGATATGATACTAACATTTATTTTATTTTTTTTAAATGAAATGTTTATGAAAGAAGCTCACCAAAGCCACATTTATTTATCTGTCAAAATACAGTGAATTGTATATTGTTAAATATTTTTACAAATTGAAATAACTGTTTCTATTGATATATTTTAAAATGTAATTCATCCCTGTGATACAACGCTGAATTTTCAACAGTAATTACTCTTGATCCTTCAAAAATAATTATAATATGCTGATTTGCTGTTCAAGAAGAGAGTTTTTGTAGCATTTACTGTTTACTGTCTATTTAATGTCACTTTTGATCAATTTAATGAATTCTTGCTATATTTATTATAAGTGTTAATTTCATTAAAAACAAGACCCCAAAGCCTTAAATGGTATAGTGTATAAAACCACACATGTGTGGTCTCAATGTGTTCACTGCTTTTTAAGTACAAGCAAGAGCTCACAGAATATTGGTTTGACAATCCCCAGTTGAAACAGGTTGACGGTGGGCAGAATCGAAAAGTGTCTGGTCATGGAATCGGCTGTAAAGTTATTTTGTATTCCATTAGTGGTCTAAGGTGCTTAGCAAGAGCCATCAAAAAGGTTGATGCACACAAGCCTTCCAAAATACTTGCGTCCTTCTTTCTATTCTTGGATTACTCTGTGTAATTTGAGGTCAGAAATAAAAGAACGGGGCCTATTTTATGCATAGCTGAAATGTTTTTCCTTCTGTTTCAAAGACAGTCACTCCAACTATGTATCATCAGATGAAGATAGCTGAAATTGAAATGCAATTTTGCAGTATAGCCTCTTAAGAACCATACTTTGTACTTGACGTACAACCCTCAAAAAGGGCCAAACAAAAGGACTTGAAGGCCCAGAGTAATACTTTGCTAATGCCTGGTGAGCAAGGTCGGGATATTAGCCTAACAGCGTGTTCTTCAGCTGAAGTCTGTATTATACCTACATCGTTGTCGGGTTAATTACTAGGCTTAAAGGCACAAAGGCCTGCTGCTTATTTTTAGTGTGACCTTATAGTGAATGCCCTGTCTTATATACAAAAAGAAGTGCTTCTCTGATTGCTGCACAACCAGAAATTGGTGGCAGTTTCTCCTGAATAATAAAGACATGATCATTTTAGTGAGCTGCACTTAATTTTTACTGTAGAGTTTTCACAGAAATATTTTTTATTTAAAAAGACTTATTTGATGTGGATTTAGCCAGGAAACTATACTTGGCCACACACCACAGGAAGCTGAATTGGAATGACAGGAAGAGGAGTTTACTGAATTGCAAATGAACACAGCATTCTGAGAAATGCCTGGTCCACAAAACATTTATTAAATATGATAAGCTGTCAATCATCTAATCTGTCTGTCTGTCTGTCTACAAGGCTTTTTAAAATCTTTTAAAACTTTCACAGTTTATCAAGCCTGTACTTTGCATTTGACTTTGTTTTTCTATTAAAACCAATAAATAAATACGTTTGTTATATGAATTTCGTTGAATGTGTTTATTTTAATGTTTCTTCCTTAAATTCAGATTTCATACCTGAATTTCTTCCTTCGTTACTTATATTCAAATTCAGATTTCATCACTGAATTTCAGTTCATTTTAATGTTACTTCCTTAAATTCAAATTTAAATTTCATCTTTTCATCATGTTTTTATACCTTAGCTCAAATTTAATTCAAATTCAGGAATTTAACTGAAATTTCAAAAGCATTTTCAATTCAGTTTTGAATGGTGCACAGTCCTGATTTCACTATTTTTAACCCATTGATTGATTGATTGATTGATTGATTGATTGATTTTTTTGTCTTTGTCCTTTTGGTTTTGTTTTACTTTATATGAGACGATTATGACTGTCAAGCTCCAAAAAGCACAATAAAATGACTATATGTAGTCCGTGTTTCAGCTCTTGCCCTTTATCTTTCAAATTTTGCATATTATTGATACATCCTGATGTAGTATTTTCTCTTTGTTTTCTATCAGATCACACCGGGAGTGTTTCCATCATGAGACTGGTGTTGAAGTACCTGGACAAGATGAGGTGTTTCCGGAAACGTTCCACTATTCCTTTTCTGGTGGCTCTCATTACCTTCCTGCTCTTCATAAACCTCTACATCGAGGATGGCTATGTGCTGGTGAGTTTGTTTACCTGTTAAAATCCAGCAGGTAAATTACAGAGGTCAATTTATTTACAACATCAGTGGAGCAGATAACAAGACAATAGTGGGCTTCACAACAACTTGACTACTGTTGTTGCATGTGATTTAGCATTAATTATCGCTGTGCTGAAAAGTTATTTTGTTTATATGCTTTAATTACCAAATGTTGCATGTAAGACTGCCGGTGCTGTGCATCTATAATTATCAGAGCTCACGCTGCAGCCTATTTAAAATATCATGATGTAGAGGCAGTCCAAATGCAAGAGACACATTTATTATTCATGAGGCCAACTTTATGATCAAAACTTTGTGATCATAACATGTCGCGTGTGTTTGTCTGTTGAATTATTCAAAAGTTGTACCCATTTTGACTAAGTCACTTTTCTAAATAACCCCCATTTAATTGAAATACAAACACCGTCACAGCCAGCTAATTTTTTTAAAAGTGCGAACAGTTCATGTGTGGTAAAAGACATTGAAGTATAGCAACGATGCCATCATTTAATACAAGATAATTTATTTAAAAAGTTGAGTGAGTAATATTGTGTACAATTAATTATTCAAAGGCCATCATTTACATTTAATGAGTTTATACAAGAGTGTGCAAGAATATTGCCAAATCTAAAAATAATGACCTGCAGCGCTTACACTTAAAGATGCAAAAGGAGTCTTAGCATTTCATGTCCATATATTCTGGAGACTCTTTCAAGCTTTAGGAATGCTGTGACAAACGTTGACTTACTTTAGGCTCGTGACAAACTTTAGAATTGTCTGTGTTGGATGTCATGTGTTTCAGGAGGAAGACAAACGTCAGTTACGAGAAACCTCAATGCAGCCTCTGAACTCAGAGCGATATGTTCATACCTTTAAAGATATGACCAATTTTTCTGGAACGATCAATGTGACTTATCGGTACCTCGCTGGAACACCTTTACCTCGAAAGAGTAAGATCGCTTTCCTTTGTACACATTAGTATTATCAGTACACACATAGTTTAACAAATTCTAAACAAATGAGTAAAACAAAATTATGTACAATATGCAAAACTGCATGACTCTATTATCTATGATCTAGCATTTTGAGTTGCACATTTATTTATTTAGTTGCCTTCTTCTGTATGTGTATGTGTATGTAGGCACACACACACACACACACACACACATATATACCACTATACATACAGAAGGCAAAAAAATAATAAATGCACAATTCGAAATACTAGATCATGGGCCTCGTTTATAAAATGTTGCGCAGAAACCATCCTAAATTTTATCTTACAGTCATCTCTCAAATATGCGTATGTGTGATTCATAGAATGAACGTACGCACAGAAAACACACGTACGCCTCTCTTTCAGATGTGAAATCTATGAATCGCAAATGATCTTGAACTTGCACGCAACTGAATTGTTTCAGTTCTCTGTCTTGTAAACGACTCCTAATTATTGTCATTAACATAAAAGATCACCAGTCATCGTCCAAACAGCGGGCTGCAAGAACAGCTTACATTTTCAAAAACCTGCAGTACTCTGACAAGAAAAGTGTGTATGTCTGCTCAGACCCTGACGTGACGCTAAGCACTTTTCCATGTCAAAGGCAGTTTCTACAAATAATGAGCGTTGGCGTGGATTTAAGCGTACACACACTCTAAGGTCAAATCTGAGCATATGCTTGCTTTATAAATGAGGCCCCACATGTCTAGATTAAGTCTCTTTAAAAATGCTTTTCTTAAATTTCAAAAAAAATGTAAAAAGTAAAGAAGTTGAACATCCATAAAATTAGATCACTTCCTAAACAAAATTAATACTTTTATTCAATTAGCAAATAGCTTGTTCTTGCTTTAAGCTTACATTTAATAAGGTCTAGTGAGATTTATGCATAAATAAGAAAATAAATCCCCAATGGGTTAAGAACTTTATTTGAGACATTTTATCCAAAAACAACTTTATATATTTTACGTAATTTTGCTTCAGTTATATGTATCTTTTTTTACAAAAATATTAAAAACTTTTTCACAGACTATTCTATAGTATTCACAGTGTAGACAAGGTGTCAGATCAGTCCAAGGCATACATTCTCTTACTCCATTATTCATCATGTTCTTTTGCAGAGTATCTCACCATTGGATTGTCATCTGTGAAAAGAAAACGAGGAAACTACCTGCTGGAAACCATCAAGTCCATTTTTGACCAATCAAGCTACGAGGAGCTCAAAGAGATCGTTGTGGTTGTCCACTTGGCAGACTTTGACCTGGCATGGTGTGAGAGCCTAGTTCAGGAAATCTCAAGGAAGTTCGGCCACCATATCATTGCAGGACGGCTGCTAGTTATCCATGCACCTGAGGAGTACTACCCGTCCCTGAATGGGCTGAAGAGAAATTACAATGATCCAGAGGATAGAGTACGCTTCCGTTCCAAACAGAATGTAGATTACGCGTTCCTGCTCAACTTCTGCACCAATCTGTCAGACTTCTACATGATGTTGGAGGATGATGTGCGCTGTTCTCGAAACTTCCTCACCGCCCTGAAGAAAGTGGTGGCATCTAGGGAGGGATCATATTGGGTGATGTTGGAATTCTCCAAACTGGGCTACATAGGGAAGCTGTACCACTCGCGAGACCTTCCTAGACTTGCCCATTTCCTGCTCATGTTCTATCAGGAGATGCCTTGCGATTGGCTTCTTATCCATTTCCGAGGCCTACTGGCCCAGAAGGATGCGATTCGCTTCAAGCCTTCCCTTTTCCAACACATGGGCTACTATTCCTCCTATAAGGGGGCAGAAAATAAACTTAAGGATGATGACTTTGAGGAAGACTCCCTTGATATCCCAGACAACCCACCTGCCAGTTTGTATACAAACATAAATGTATTTGAGAGCTATGATGCTGCCAAAGCTTACAGTAGCGTGGATGAGTACTTTTGGGGCAAGGCTCCGTCCACTGGGGACTTTTATGTAATAGTGTTTACCAAGGCAACAAAAATCAGCAAAATCAAGATCATCACAGGAACGGATGATCGGCAGAATGATATTTTGCATCACGGAGCTTTGGAAGTGGGGGAGAAATTAGTAGGAACCAAAAAGGGAAGGCAGTGCTCCACCTATATAACTTTAGGGGAGTTTAAAAATGGAAACATTGAGGTTCATGATGTGGACCACAAGATAGCATTTGATATTGAGTGTGTTCGCATTGTGGTAACGGCAAGTCAGAAAGAATGGCTTATCGTTAGAAGCATAAGCCTCTGGACTACACAAGGTGCCAGTCAATGAGAACTTTTTTGAACCGTAGCTAAAGGCACAAGTATCTGTTTATTTATCTATTTATTTATTTATGCAATTTCTAAATTATTTATTCACCTGAGAAATCTTTATTTATTCAAATTTATTCATTCATTCATTCAGACTAATTTAAATGCAGTACAAGATTTCACACATCTGAGGCATTTCAGCTAATTCTGACATCAAATTCAGACAATAAAGATTTTTTAATATATAAAGACATTTAGAGTACATATTTGTGTACCCTCTTTTTCCATTATTACTACATAATGTGTACTCCTCAGCAAAAAAAACTCTGAGAAGCTACACTGTTTTGACTGTCCTTTGGCCAAGGTATACACTGCAAAAAAATATATATTTTTTTTTCTTTTTGCCCCTTAAATTTAACACAGACACATTTATGCGTGAAACTAAATATATATTTTCTGGCACTTGAGGATGCGCACGATCTATCTGTCAAATGTTTTTGGTCAGGAGCTTGTGAGTGTTATCCAATGAGAAGCTCCATTCGCGTTTGTCCCTCTTCTCGAGAGATGAGTGACAAACATTTGCATCTCGCGGTTCGGGTCCCGCTGTTGCCGAGGCACGGCGAATACTCGGATTGCGGGGTTGAGATGCCCTTTTTGGGTTATTATAGGCTTAGATGTCTGCCATAATTCTGCGCGCGAATGATCATATTTTGAGCGCACAAAAGTGAATTTTGCACGCGCGCGATCTGAGTTTTGTGGAGAAAATGTTCGTTTCGCAAAGAAAAAAGTATTTTGAGCGCACGAAAATCAATTTTGCATTTAAAATAAGTTTTTGGATGTGTGTAGACCTTCTCTTTTGCGTGTGCAAGGTTTCACTGGCTTGCTCCCTTGATGCCCGCCCTCAGTACTCTCTAAATACCAACGGCTCGCGTGCTCAACACAACCCAGCGTTACAATATGCCATAATTCCAGCCAATCAGAGACTAGGCTGCTAAATTCTGATTGGCTGCCTTGACAACCATTCACAACATTTCTTGCATTACCACGACAGCAGAAGAGGAAAAATACAGTGCATGCATAATTATTATGCAAGTTCATATTCTGATCATATTTTTTTCCAAGCACATTTTAAAATACTTACTTCTTTGCGAGACAAACATTTTCTCCACAAAACTCAGTTCGCGCGTGTGTAAAACGCACTTTTGCGCGCTCAAAATATGATCTTTCGTGCGCAGAAATGTGGCAGAGATGTAATCCCATAGGTTATCGGATCCCACGGATAGCGCTCGAGTCGAGCAGCACCTTAGGGAATGTGTGCCTCCGTGTTTGGATTCTAATGGCGCTTTTCCACTGCATGGTACGGCACGGTATGGCTCAGTACGGTTCACTTTTGGGGGGTTTTCCACTGGGTACAGTACCTGGTACTTTTTTTAGTACCACCTCGGTTGAGGTTCCAAGCGAACCGTACCGTTACCAAAACGTGACGTGTAAACTCTTCTGATCACGGATTGGCCGGAGAGAATCGTCACTACCTGCGTCACTGAACTTGTGACACAAACACAACAGAACCACTAGATTTAAATCAGCAAAGCAAGCGAAGGACCGAACGCAGCTGTTTTGAACGAGCGCACCTTTTTTTAACAACCAAAAAGTGGCTGTTTCGTTTTCTGTTGAGGAAGTACAGACATTCCTCTCGTTGATAGCAGAGGAGCGGAACCAGCGAA